CCAATTCAGATACAGAAAGCAATTGCTATAATCATTGCCAATACCCATTCAATGCATACATACTTATACACTTAGGTATACATTGCCCATGTATGTCCCATGAATCAATAATGCATAGTAAATAACTGTATAGCGTGTTAGTTTATCATATCCACTACTTCCACTGGCTGTGCGTGTGGCCGAGTGACTGAATTTATTTGTATGTGTATGTGTGTGTGTATGTTACAGTATTATTTATTTATTTATACATCATATGTATTTGTGTGCTACAGCAACTGCCAAAGCGTTCCACGTGAGCGAACTCCTTGTAGCTGAAGAACCAAGAATCCTGCCCATTTTTACCCAGTATATCATACTCATATATATATATAGTCATGTAGTAATACCATAAGCTTATTAGCAATTATTGATGAACCTTCCCGTTGTGAACTGTAGTTGAGGCCCCGTCAGCCAGTGTACATATGCCTGTATATAATCCAATATCCAAAAGACCCATTTATTGTGTTTAAATGATAAAGTACCTAACCCATATTTGATACAACTTTTAGTATAGCGCGATCAATTGCAAGTAGATTGAATTATTACAGACAGTTTATTAACACTTTTACAAACCAATAGAGAGCCATAATAGCAAATATTCAAATGAAGTACTAGAAACACATTAGTGATCAGCTCATTTACTATATACCAGGAAATTGAGTAGTAGCATCATCAGAATGAAATGTGCATGTAATTCGTTTATAGTTGAATTGAGGGAATTGATTTTGATGAGTCATTGATTTAGAGCTGCTCTAGGCGCACGCTCAAATATTAGTCATATAATATACATGATATATGTGTGTAGAATATTTTCTAGTGAATATACGCAATTTACCTTAGGCAGCACACAGTATTCGCAACACCAAAGTGAATTTCAGAAGTACAGAAGTGAATTTTATATATATATGTACGACATAGACAATTACTTTTCGTAAATGATATTGTATATGGTTTACAATTAGTTGAAGCCACACTCCACAAATAATCCATTTGTCCTGTATACCAAATATGTAGTATTAAGTAGAACCAAAGAAGCAACTAGTCAAACCAAATGTCCAGACAAATTACTTAGCCTAGGGTAAACCTATTTAATGCTGGGCCTTAGGGTATCTGTATACGTATCAGATGAACCCAAAAGAAAACAAAACAAGAAAAATTAAGAAAAAGTTAAAAAAAAAAAATAATAATAATAATATAATCATTGTAAACCTTATGCTCACCAATTGTTGTGCTTATTGTCAACGTAAACAGATTACTTTAAATTGTTGAATTTAGATAAATGCGATTGATGCGGTGCAGCGAAGCTAAACATAATCAGGTCGTACATCTCCTCGATTGCTGAGAACGATTGTACCTAAGTACTCTAGCAATCATTCATAATTGAAATCGCTTGCTCAAGTAGCAATGTTTAATATAGAACATCATAATGGAATACCAACAAAACTAATCAAATACGTTTAATTATTCTTTTTCGCTGCTAAGTCCAAATATAACTTGAAATGAAAGATTCGAAAACCAATCAACCAAAAGTGTTTGTTTGCTGTGTTGTTCAGTTTTCAGTTTCCATTCGATAAACATTCGCTGCTTTTCCACGTCCTCTCCTCCTCCAACACGCAACACAAATAAATCAGCAACTCGCACGATTCATGTAATCGAGATCCAAGTTAATTTCTTTTCATTTCAATTCGTTCCTCTTTTATTTCATTCATTTTGTTTTTCCTTTCGGCACAACAGTTTTAACAATGCGCAGCGTGTTTCAATTTGTAAACTTGATCATTTGTTTATTTTGAAATTGCTCATTTGTTTAAAGGATCAGTCGAAACTAATGACTAATGATTTTTTCCAAGTATTCTTTCTACGAAATTTGTTAAAGTCAATTTAGGAGCGCGGTCGCTGCTCTTGTTTTATTATCGTTAATCGCGCATCGTGCTATAAATCGTACTCTTATAATGTACTCAATCAATATGAAAATGGGCGTGTCATGTCAATGCCAGAAAACAGAAAGCCAAACAAATTTTATGATGAGTGAGCATAAGGTAAGGCACATAGATCCCACCACACACAAATGAAAAAGTAAATGATATATGCATGCTCTTAAGATAAATCCAATTATTATACATGTTATCCAATCACTTTTGCCATTCGATATTTTCAAATGTTTGTTGTACACTGAATGCTGTAAACAGTTTTCTCATAAACAATACCCAATGCAAAGATTATCTCCAAAGGGGGGCGGGGCAGAGCACTGCCACTCTTCGTTTCATTTTTTTCTTTAGTGTACTTACTCCCTTTTGACCTTTTGAAGTGCCAATTTTTGCGACACCCAATTTATTGTATTATTTAAGATTTCGACGCTACCAACTCAGGTCGATGGAATTTCCCAAATCAAACACTTTGTTCTCTTTGTATGTTATATGATAAACAATACAAAAAAGAACAAGGAAAATGAAATAGATAAAACATTCGATCGACCTGAATTCATTTGCCAAGCCTCACGTTCAGTTTGTTGCTAAATTTTTGTCGGCCCTCGCTGTTGCAACATATTCCGTGTTCTATTTTTATGAATTGTGATTTTGCTTTTGCGTAGCTTTAATATGTATATGTATATATATAAACAACTCGTATTTAATTGTACATACAAATTTAATTAACAAGAGCCTTAATTTCTAAGTTCGAACCGCTACGCATTCGCAACAGCTACTTAACTATGTGCATATTTCTGGCATTCTTACAGAAGAGATTGAGAGTAATCAGGTCACGGAGTACGTGGAGCTGTTAAAGTGTCTCCAAGACAAAGATGACATAGTAGGTCTTCCACCCGGCGGCGGCTTGCAGTCCAAGTGAGTATTCCAATATCGTATATGTGTGAGCGTGCGCTGATTGATTTGATTTCATTGCAGATATCACGTTATTGAGCGCACATTCAAGGAGGTATTTCCAGAGAGTCCATGTGAAGTACGAAATATTTTTTACAACATTTAAAATCGCTGCGAATCTTGCTTATTGATGCTTATTCATTTTCATTTGCTTTTAAGTTTTGCTTTAGCTCTTTTCATATTCTAGATGATTGCCCAGCTTCAGTTCACTCTATCTCTATCCTCTTCTTTCACATCTATCACCTAATTCAATAATCTGAAATCACAATTTTCTATTCTAAGAATGAGGCTGCATCCCAACTAATTGTTGTTTAACAAATCGAAAGCTCTTTACGTATTCTCTTTCTTTTATTTCTAGCTGTATGCATATGATGAGCTATGAATTTTTTAATGCTAAATAATGTTAATTTCTAAATCAACAACAACAGCAACAACAACAACAACCAAAAATAAAACAAACAACCATCCAACAAGAGAACAATTGAAACTAAAAACCCTTGAAATTCATATACTCTAACTGTAAAACGAACGCCACTCTGTCGTTTCCGTCTCTTGGTTTTTGCATAAATAATGAACCTATTGTAAGATTTACAGCACCCAAGTTAAATTCAAAACTAAATCAAACAAAACAAAACAAAACCGAAAATAGAAAATAACTAATAATCAAACAGGCGCCCTGCATGCTCGCCTGCTGCTCTACCCCCGCATGCTCATCCAAAAACAATAATAAATAAATTAATAATAATAATTGTAATACGAAAACTTCCATCAACTCCCTACTCCACACGCTTCATGTAAGCCCGCGCCCCAGCTGTGCTTTCTTTTTGATCTTTTCCCCACCTGTTTATCCACACACGTAATAATTTGTCACTTTTCGTTATTTTTGCAGAGTCCAACGCATTAAAATGCAAATCAAACAATCAACAAATGCAACAACAACAATAGCTATAGCAACCCAACAAACACACTCACACAAACACACCCACACCCACACCCACACTTACACTTCCACACACACACTCACATACACACACACACACACACGACACACCAAAACCGTTTTCTACTTTGATAAAGAAAAACATATGGAAAACCTACTAATAATAGAAATAGCCATTATTATATAGTATATACGAAAGAAAGTCCTAAACACTACTGCGAAAACCTTGTATTACATAGATCATACTTATAGAAAAGGGCGAACCTCAGCAGACCTCTCAGAGATAACTAACACAAGTAACGACAAAATAAATATATATATATTATATAACTAACCGAACCAGGTTTGGCTCCAAGCCAATGCGAAAATACAAAATACTGACCGCTCGGTCATCTAATCAAACTACCTTACTACTACTATATATTCCCAGAAGCTACAGATAGGCAGTTACAATGTCAAAACACTACAGGCCACTATCTACTACTACTCTATATTGAGAGATCAGAGCTCTATCTATCTATCGTTCCGTCACCATTTCAAACAAAGCATTCATTCACATACTGTTTCCTCGTCTTTGTTGCCCGCCTCCGAACTGTAGAAAAAGTTCATCTGTGTACAATTTTACCAAAAAAAAAAAAAAAAAAAAAAAAGAAACTTAAAAAAAAGGGAAAAAACAAAAGAAAAAAGAAAAACAAAAAATATATATATATTGAAGAAAACAAAAAGAAATCCTTTATTGGCCCTGTCTAAGAAATTCGCTCGGGTGATGATGTCTGTACAAGAAGTTTTTATTTTAATTTTCAAACTGTGTATTAATAATATATATTGATTCCGAAATGAAACGGACTTTTGTAAGCTGTATAATGTTTGTTACTGAAGGATAATTTTTGTTCATTATTTTTATATATGTATATGAGAGATGATATCCACTTTAAACACAAAACAAAATAAGTAAAGAAAAAATTCAACCTGTAATGGAAAACAAAAAACTATTAATCTGTAAGAAGTGTGCGAAATGAAATACTAAGAAACTTAAAGCAAAACAGATAAAAAATGAAAATGAAAAAAAAAAAAAAACCGAGTTTGTAGTAAATGTTGATAAAAAGAAAAAAAAAGAGTGTAATTCTTGCAATTATTCATATTGTTTAATCGGAATTGAAGTGCACAGTGTACCAGTCGTATCACCTCCAAACGCGGCAAGTGTTATCCTTGGACGCAGTCAATATAGCGTCGCCTGCGTAGCTGTAGGCGCAGCTGAATACCTCCGACTCATGGCCAGTCAGCACCTGGGAACACTGGCCCGTCTCGGCCAGCCATAGGCGTGCCGTGTTGTCCGCCGAGGCGGTGAGCAGCATGCAGCCGCTGGGACTGAAGCACACCTTGTTCACCTCGTCGCTGTGGCCGGCCATCAGCGACAGCATCTCGAACGGCTCCAAGCTCCAGACGCGCGCCGTGCAGTCGCTGCTGCTGGTGGCCAACTGCTTGCCGGCCGCATCGAAGCTCACGTCCAGCACCTCATCGCTGTGCGTCGACACCAAATGCAGCTCCTGGTCCAGGCGGCGCACATCCCAGATGCGTGCGGTGCGGTCCAGGCTGCCGGTTGCAATCAGCGAGCTGCTGAAGTTCCAGACGCAGTTCGACAGCTCCGCCGTGTGTCCACGCAGCTGATGGCAGCAGCTGTAGGAGCATTGCAACAAGTGGCAAATCAATTGGAAATTTATCACACATGATTCACGTGCCCACCTCTTGCTGCGTGTGTCCCAAATGGCGGCTGTGTGGTCAAAGGAACCTGTCAGCAGCAGCTGGCCGTCGCGAGAGTAGCGCGCCACAATCACCTCGGCGCCGTGGTGGCCCAGCTGTTGCAGCTCCTGCGCTGTTTCCGCATCGAAGATGCGCGCCTTGCCATCAATGGAGGCCGTTGCCACGCCCTGGTCGTGCGCAGGATTGAACTCGGCAGCCACCACCTCGGCTGTGTGGCCATACAACGTGCTCTGGCACTGGCCAGTGGCTGCCGACCAGATCTTGGCGGTGCCATCAAAGGAGCCCGTAATGATCTTGTCGCTAATCAAACCAAGCGTTAAGCATTATCAATCCTGCTCGATCAAACTTACCAGCGCGGCGTATTGAAGGCCACCGAGAAGACCACGTTGTCGTGTCCGTTGAGCACATGCTGCACCAGGCCGGTGCTGGTGTTGATCACATGGCAGGTGCGATCGTAGCTGCCGGTCAAGCAGCGCTCGCCGCTGCGATCGAAGCACACGTTGGTCAGCGGCAGAATGTGCGAGTTGTAGCACTTGTGCAGATAGAACTTCTTCTTAATCGGCTCGCGCAGCTTCGCCTGCAGCTTCTCAATGGCTTGCTTCAGTGCGCTGAACATGTTGTGGGAGCTGGAGGCCTTGGAGTTGGAGGACAGGCATAATGCAGCATTTTCAGCGCAGGTGGCGCCTTCATCCGCTACTGCCTCGCTCACCTGCAACTCCTCAAACAATATTCTGTCCGCCAGCTGCTCCACATTTGTTCTGTGAATCAATATGTTTTCTCAATTGGACACTGCATCCGGCTGACTACTCACTTGGCATCCAAGTCGAGCAAATCGAAGTGTCGCAGTCGCTCACCGCCCTTAGCCGATCGATAACTTAAAGCCAAACCTATCGAAATTCTCTTGAAATTGCATACACAGGTGTAAAATGATCCAGGACTCACCTGGCGGGTAATAGCGCAGAAAAATTTTATTGGCGCTCATTCCACAGCTGTTGTCAGTCAGGCGACTGTCGGAATTTCTTTGTCGAGTAGAGTTGCTAGCGCGTATCAGTTGTGCTTGCTGACCTGCTTTAATTTGTTGCGCGTTGCCTTGTCAGCCTCGTCGGTAGAGAAGCTAAGGGCAGGCAACTAGTTTGGTCGATTCTCTGTGCTGTAGGTCTGGGTGGGTGCGTGGGTGTATCGAACTTCGTAGTGCAGTGTGATGCTAGTATGTTGTGGTATGCATTTATTTATTTTATTACTTATATATGTATATTGACAGCTATAGTATTTGCTATTCCTAGCATGACTATAATGAATTTGCTTTCCCGCCATTGTTTCAAATAAAGCTTCGCTGCATTCACAAAAAAGCTTTCGTGCTACAGCCTCTCGAGCCTGGTAAAGCTAAGTCGCAGCAATGGCGACAAAAGCAAAACAAAATGGCCGTCAGGTGTCGCCAGCGAAGTGGTTTGTGTCCTCGCTAGCACAGCCAAATAATTGTCGAATTAAATCTTGTAAGACTTGTTGATGCTGTTTAAATAATTCTCACATCTAAATATTTACTCAAGACTAAAAGTGGGCTAAGCAAATACATATTTTATTATTTTGCAATTGAATTAAATTCGTTAAACACTTAATTTATTATTCAATTGCAGCCTTGGGTGCTGCTAAAACACTGTTGTCACCACAAAAATTTGCTTTGCGCTTGTTTATATCTATAAAACCTAATTAGCTTGTTTAATTCAATGGCCTCCAGGGGCCAATTGTAGCCACCTGTTTATAATGGTAGACGGAATAATCATATATCTGTATACATATTAACATGACGTATACATATATGGATATAGATATGTGTATATACACATTTATATACAGATATACAGATATATTTAGAGACCACACTCAGGGCAGAGCAGACACTGGAGCCCGCAACGAAGGCAATTAGATTGTCTTACCTTTCTCGTGCCTCGTTTCGACATTTTCACTAATTTAATTTGCTCGGTAATCACTGAGACGCAGAGGTCCGGCGTTGCGGGCAGGGGAGCAATGTCCATTAGGCTAATACACGAACGCAGATAGCGACAGATGAAAGACGCGCGCGAGAGTGGGCGAGCGAGTCAACACCAAAATGACCATAGCCAATAATGATAACAAATTATTGGATACTTATTATCACACCCCATTTTGTACCATCGCACAGGACTGAAGCGGACAATCCGACGCGAACAATGGGCAATGCAATGGCTGATGGTGAGAGAAGAAGACATTGGATAATATAATGCGAACCGCAAATTGCTTATTTATAATGAAATATTTCATTGATTTCGCCTTCGTCGGACACAGCGCCCAGTGCATAGTTCAGAGTACGAACATGAAAGCCAGATGCCGAGTGCATAAGCCTGGAACAGCGTGTCATGTTGAGGCCAGCCATGACGTTGCTGTGCGGGAGCAGCAGCAGCAGCAGCAGCAACAGCTGCTGTCACAAATCATGTCTTCATTTGGCGACTTACTTCGTTAGGGCATATGCTGGCCGGGGGCGAAGGTGGATACGAAAATGGCCGTCGAACTGGAATGGATATGAAATCAATTTAAAAGCGCATAAAACGCTCGCGTAAACAAAACACAACAAAGCAAAGCAAGACAAAACAGAGCAAAGCAGGCCCTGGGGCTAGGCAGACACTGAGCATCAAGCCGATTTAAATTTATGCTCAATAAACTTTTGTTGATTTCCGGCAAGCCAGCTGCCTGCCAGTCCTTGAGCCCTACGTGTGTGGATGAGACCCGCAAAAATGCGGCGCTGCATAAATTAAAGACGCACGCGCCCATCCTCCCCCACTCAGCCACACAGAGATTCGCTCCCCACCCAGCAAATGCTACCTTTAGCCACAAAAATTATTATTGCCGATTTTATGTGTGTGTGTGTGTCTGTGTCTGTATGTGTGTGTGCGTGTGTGTGTGTATGTTTTTTCGACAGTTTGCGGACCACCTTCGAGCCGGGTCAGCGGGAACCCATCCTCGCGCTGGCTGGTTCGTTTTGGTTAAGCAAATTATGTTTAAATGGCATAAACTTCTGCAGTGACGACGAGTTTCCGGGCCGATAGAGCAGCTGCCCGAGGCTTAAAATCAGATTTTTGTACGGACACTGCGAATGATATTAATACATAAACAGATTTTCGACTCTTATCTTGTGTTTTTCTTTTTGTCAGCAAAACGATTTCAGGTTACTTTGTTCACTGTGCAAAAAATATGAAATCAAATGGGGATATGGAAATTTGTGATATGAATGTTATGAATGTTCTGCAATTGCTCGCGATTTATAATATTCATTTATCGTATTGTGGGGTATACGTATATATCATTGTATATATCTACTATATAGATATGTGTTTCATATTTTACTGATGTAATTATGAGTTAATGCTTTAGTGAATTTGATCAATTTATCAATTGGCTTTCCATAGTATACCAGAGAGCAGCTATGAATTGTAAATACTATTTGAATTTCAACCGAGTAAATGCTCATTTACCAAGCTTACAAATGGTAGGAATGTCACCACAAATGCAAAGTTGAGATTCGTTTCCGGACGTATAGGGCTCTCTCAATTCAGCTGGTCAGCCTTATCAAGAATATATACACTTTATAGGGCATACGCCTGCTGCTGTCTATCACATACATATTCACTTGACTACCCTGAGTTCACATGGTTCATGGACCCAGGGTGCCATAACGGAGTTTCGGATAAGCCACTTGTTGTTAACTTAATTTTTACACCGACTTGCCCATGGGGCTCATCACTTCTGCCCACAGACTGCAGTTTCACGCAGCCCAGCTGCCACATCGCACAAGTTGCAAGTTGCAAGTTGCAAGCTGCAAGTGTGCTAGATATAATTGGCAGAGCACACACTCACGTTCGATGCTCACTTAATTATATTTGACTCGGTTTTGCAAACTTGCTGTCTCTCGAAACTTGGGCAAGCATTCAGACTGACTCCTCCGTTCGAGAGCCATCAGCTGCATGAGTGTGGGCCGGGCATGCCACTACAAACTTAAAGCCAGTAAGGACAATGCCATTAAGATTAAATAATTAAGCAAGAGCAAATCAGTTGCTTAAATATTCTTGTGTGTATCAATCAAGTTTGGATTCATTTATTCATTGGCATAATTAACTTAATGTTGGCTCCGACAATCTGACGAGCTCTTTCTTCATCTATCACGTCTTCATATATAAGATTTTCTCCTAACTAAATGCTCACTTAATCGGGCATCTTGTCTCGCATTGACAAGAATCTGACGCCGCGCCCATTATTCATGTAGTATTTGTCGGTTGAGTCGTTTAACAGTTTATGACTTTGATAAATTAAATTGGGCATGGCCGGTTGCAAATACGCCCGAATGAACGCATGGATATACATATCGACTTATCACAGGGCGCCTACAATGGCTCCGGATCATGGATACTTTTAAGCTCAAGATTGGCGCAGTCGAAAAGCCTTAAAGCCGTTTATGGTCAATTGAAATGCAGACGCATCGAAATGTTATAAAATTCAATAATATCAGCTTTCAGACTCAAAATAAGACTCCAATTCAGACTCTGACCCATCCACAGCCAAAGATATCTCGCTGTGTGTGTGTGTGTGCGAGAGTTTATTTTGAGGCCTCTTTTGTGTTAAATCAAAAGGGAAAGGCAGACGCCGCAGTGGTAACAGCCGAAAGTAAAGAAGGTAGCACAGCAGCAACATTTTGTGTGGCTTTGCGGCCGCATCAAGTATACGCACCATAAATCAGAGCAACGACCCAAACCGCACGCAACATGCCCAATGACGTATTGAATGCATTAAACTCTGTCTTAAATTGCGCTCCGGCCGTCTGCCATAACTTGAAGTGGTGCTTAAAATGAATTACGCATTGTCGGTGTTATTATATACCAGTTCTGCTGTGGGAATCTCTGTCTTAGCACACACACACACACTCACACATACACATAACTGGTCCGATTGGCCGCACGTTAGAGCACTGATTGCAGCCAGAGCATATATAGTATACATAATTTACATATTTAACTCTCTTTATCGTTCGTCTCTTTCTATTTACAGCGCGATGCCATTTCATATTTCATTCCATTCTAATGGCAGTCAACTGATGTCAGGTAACTCGATAATCTAATTCTTGTATTTTCATCATAATTAATGGAGCATTCAATGTTTCGGCCAGCCGTAAACCGGTTAGAGCACATGACCCACTAAACATGCGGCTAACTGATTGCTTTCATGAAAAATGCACACGAATGTCCTTTCGGGATTTGCAAACCAAAATGAGCGTTAAATTTATGCAAACAAGAACCAAAAATACATAATCAACTTGTGCTTGTGCCACGGTGTATGTGTGTATGTCAGTGGGTGTGTGTGTGTGTTTAAATTTGGTTTGTTTATCTTAAATGCTACAAACTATTTAAATTGAGTTTTGCTTACATCACACCTTGAGCGACGTTTATTAAACAGAATTGAAACATAAGACTTCTTTAAAGTAGTTGATGATTTTTTAGTATTATATGGGCTGCCTTGCTAATTATGTGTGTTATATGTCAATTAAAACAAAATTATATATCAATTTTCTTTATTGGTAATTGAATCTCTAAGCAAGTCCTTTGAGTCTTGGACATTTCTGATCAGTTCAGTTCACATCTATAATTTTCATCTAATTGTTTGTGTGTGCAATGATGAGTAACGAGCATCTGTGGGTGTGTGCGTGTCGTGTGGCTATGCCCATACGTTGACGAGTCTGTGTATTTGGTTTGGCTGAGCTCAAGCCACAAATTACATGAAGCCAACAACAATTTGAGTTTGAGCAGCAAATATTTTACGCTCAGCACATACGAAATGCACTTCAGTCGCAGCTAACCAAATGATTAATGTGGTCCCGGCGTACTCAACGTGTTGTGGGGCTCGTTTGCTGCCCGAGCTGTTCGACAGCTGCGCTGTACGGTCCGGGCGGAAGTTGCCGTAAGTAAAGCAACTACTTGATCAAATAATATACAATGCCAAAAATATGAATTTAATTAGCACTAATTGCGACCATAATTTACTTTTGCACCTGCGCCCTCGGCCGTAGCTTTTCAAAATTGTCCAGTTAACTGCATATTACGTATACGTCGTAGGACTAACGAACACAGCTGAATGTTGCTGTTGCTGGTGCTGCTGTAGCTGTTGTTGTTATTGTTGTAGCTATGTAACTCTCATTGCTGGCACGAGTTTTGCACACTTGTGTTTATGGCCAAAGTTTTTGGCTTGGCCAAAAGAGCGAGAACTTGCCTCAATATTTTGAAGAGTTGAGATTTCCGACTCGTGATTCAATGAAATCTTTAGAACCGCAATGAACTTCCCTAACAATACTGCTGCTGCAATGCAGTGCAGTCAATTAAAATTTATCACACATACGCGCCAGAGCCCCAGCCCAGTCGTCTTGCCTCGTAGAACTATCGCAGGCTTACAGTCCAGCTGTTGAAACGGTTTCCGTTCATTTTCAATTTGTTTAATGGGTCACTTGGGCGTACGAGCCAAAGTTTTCATGAGCTGGCAAACAAGCCATAAAAGCAAATAGCCAGCGACGACGGCATAGACGACGGCATAGACGACGGCATAGAGGATGACTCCTGCCTGAGTCTCTCTGCTCAGCCGATTGGGCGACCGCAAAAAAGGCACGCTGCCTCCGACCACCTGCACGTTTATGTGCGGTATGCAACACGGTCACGCCCACTCGCCCGCCCACGTCGTCGCCACACTCCATGTCAGTTGAGCCAAGCACACGGCAAATCTGCCTACATATGTACATATATGCTGTAATATACTGTAATAGCAAAATGTAGACATTGTTGGCTTTCGTGCGGTATGATATTTGAGAAAGATAATCGCGGTAATCCAATGATATCACACACACACACACTCATATAAAGGCTGGCAGAGCCAGTGTTTACTTGTCGCAAAAAGTTTCACTCCGAGCTGCCTACTTTAGCCTGCGGCTAAGTCAGCCTTTGGCAGCTCTGTGTATAATAAGCTTAACTTAACGTGTGTTTGCTTCGCAGTCTCGCTTTAGCCATTTTCCCAGGGCTCACGCAGCCTTGGCTCACGCATACATACGCAAGTGGCGCCCCGGGCGGCACATCGAGTAAGTCTTCTATTCAAGCCGCCGTAGAAATATGGAAAGCAGCGCTGTCGGTGGCTGTTGATGTTTAAAGGATGAAACTGATATCGAGCTGCATGCAATGATTCTCTCTTTGCTTACAGATTCGCGCTTAAAGTCGTCAATATGCCAAGCTAATTCATGCCAATAGCGAAATCTATCCATATAGAAAAGCACTCGGCCTTCCGTTCCGAAGGCTTGCTCCATTTGCATTTATTTGATTACGCGTTAGTGCAAATAAATGTTATTTAATAACTTTTGCTATTTCGCCGGGCCGCGTGGCCGACGTGTGTACAGCTCGGTTGGCATTGCAAATAAATAAATATACTATATAGATAAGAAAAACATTGGAGCACGCAGCTGAGGCATTCGCACAAATAAATATCAGAGCGAAACGAATTTTCGGTAGAGCTCGGAGAGCTCGAATCGCGAAATGTGATTTGTGTGCGATTTAACGCATTTGGTGTGCTTATAAATTATTTGAAAACTCATTGCAATTTAGATGAAATCGTGGTTAAAAAACAATTTCTCTTATTTAAGAGGTGCCTGCAAGGTAAAAAATACATTTTTTTATTGCGCGTGTGAAAAATGGACATATATATATATGTATGTATGTGTGTGAATGTGCAAATATTGCCATGCAGCACCACTCACCCACACCAACACACACTTTAATTGCTCACCACGTGAAGACAAAGAGAAAGTTTCGCGAGCGAGCGAAATTGTTAACTCCCAAAAATGCGAAGCGGAGTTTGAGCGTGGAGAAAAGTTCCTGTGCTTGCACACACGCGGGCGAGCACCAAACTTACATATCACATTTATAGTTGCAGTCCCCTTTACAGGCTGTCTAATTACAACAAACATGAAACGGAGCACAAATGATGACAAGCTAAAAAGTTTATCATATTTAATTTTTTACTTTCTGCTGCAGGAGATAATGATGCTGCATAATAAACTATTCAGATATTAAGCGCATAGTTAACATAATTCAATGCAATTTGCAGGAGCAGAGCAGACAGGACATGTTCTTGTTTATTGTAATCAAAAATATATTCATATTTTATAAACTTTTTATATTACATCACAAGTTAAAATATAAAAGTGAAAATATAAAAATCAATGCATTCACGTTTAACTCTTTATTGAATATAATTTGTAGTATTTTCAGTTATATTTATTTATTTAATTTTTTTAAACTAAATATTACACTTATGTATGTAATGCATTTCGAATGATCTTCATAAGCATTTAAATACAGTTTTCAGCTCGTTTATCTGTTATCTTTGCTATAATTTACAGTCCTTGGCATGTGCCGAACTTTTCTATGTTGCACTGTGTACCTCCGCGCTGTTCGCTTTATTGTTATTTTCGAATATTTATGGTGTATCATCAAATAAGTAGCAAAGCAGCGCGACGACCACCATGGGCGCCACCTAGCGCCGATAACGTGCAACTCGGGCGTGCTGGCACGTTAATTGAAATACGTGGGCCCCAGGTGGGGCAGAGCATTTATTCAGCGTCTGGCGGATGTGGCTGAAGTTTCGATGTGCATGTGTGTGTGTGTGTGTGTATCCTCTCATACGACAGCTGTGTGTGTGTGTGTGTGCGTGTGTGTTGGCTGCCTGTTGCCCGCAACGGTAAGTATTGGCAACACGTTGAATTACATAATTTAAAGTTTTAGCAGCTGCATAATCCCCGACTGAGGTTGCAGCTACGCCTCAACAAGTGCCGCAAATACTGTGCTTAGCCACGCCCACACACGACCCACGGCAAACGCACGCCCACCAGCATTATTAGATCAACACAGCCTGCGTCGCTGGAGCAAACTTTCCCACTACCAAAGACCAAAGTTGTGTGTGGCACATGCCAAACGTAAAAGTTGGAAATTAAATTCCTTGGACAAATACACAGACACACACACACACACACACACACACACACACACACACACATACATATAATGCCAGGAGCTGCAGTTGCCTCGCTAGTTGCGGCGGTACTTGATCGCCTGCCCAGCCCCGCCCCTTCCCAGCCCTTGCGGCGCTGCAACCTCATCAATATGGGAAGTGGGCGAGCAGTTGCTTATAATATGCAAATGTAATCAGTGCCTACATTTTTTTACGTTCCTCGCCGAGTGGTCGACGCCACATGTGTGTGTGTGTGTGTGGGTGTAAGTGTGATGGCAGATTCTGTGCGTGCTTTCGTGTTTTATGTCTACATGCATTTGTTTATGTGCGTTTTATGTTCCATGAACTTTGTATGCATCCTATGGCCGAGCAATGAGCCCGCACCTTACACGGATTTATGTTTCAGGTTTTGGCCGGAACTCAGTTCCAAAGTTTAGCCAGCTATGCAAGACCACACACACAGATATAATGGTCCTGTACGTGGCCGCAGGACACACGCCACTTGGAAGCTCATTGGCGATTTCTTATCAAAGGCAACAGCAACAATCTTGAACAACAACAGCCGCAGCTATGCCAAAGCAGCGCAGAGAAAAAACAATAAATGAAACCAATGAAAAAAAAAAGATGCCAACATGCAAATTGCTTTATAAAAAGCATCCGTGCTTCCTTCCCTCTCTGGTCGTTACAGTTTACTTACCCACATCGAGCTGGTGATCAGAGACGCAAAGTTGCATTCTATTTTTTCAGTTCATTATGTTACATTTTTTATTGGATTCGTATCGACTTAGTTGCCGCTGGCACAGAATGTGCGGCTAAGAGCTCGTGAAGTGCACTCTGTTGAATAAAAAGAGAAGGCAACAGAACAGAACAGACAATAATGAAATGAAATATATATTTATTATAAAGCTCAAATAGCCACTGGTTGCTCGGACTATAGGTAATACCCATCCTGTAGTACACAATTTGCCTTGTGCTTTAATGTAGCTGGCATATCTCATTGCACTTGGAAACATTGAGTATCCAAAAGCCTGATACTCGCCTTAGCTAGGTTAATTAGAAAGCT